TTTGATTGATAAGGTGTTTGCTATGGGTTTTGATGAAGCTAGTAATAATACTGCTGCAATACCTAGATTGCGTGAATCATGTGGTCCTTCTACTTTGATGGGTAGGTTTTTTGATCACCAGCATTGTGCATGTCATATTCTCAATTTATGTGTAAAAGACGAGCTAGCCGCGTTAGGAGATGCTATGGACAACGTGAAGGGAAGGGGGTATTAGACTTATTTGGGCTAATAATCAACTTAAAGTGCAATGATGTGAATACTTGAGGGCTAGACGTGTGGAATATTGTAAATTTCCTAAAGATTTGTCTATTCGTTGAAATAGTACTTATAACTTAATTGCTGTACTTATTTGATTTAAAGACCATTTTCCTGCTTTTTTAAAGAATATGCTAACTACATTATAAATCCGACTGAGATCGACACTATGCAAAAAATTGTCAATGTTTTGGTATATTATAATAATGCAACTCAAACTTGTAGTCATGTTTATAAACCTACCGCAAACCAATTTTATGTTGAAGCTGTAAATCTCGCCGGCGCATTTTGTAAATTTGAAATTGCCCCTTACGTTCATTATTTCTGTTCTTTTATGAAAGAAAAGTTTTTAAAATATTATTCACATATTTCGCATATATATGGTAATGCTTTTCAAAATTGTTTAGAGTACTATTATGGTTGTTTTTTCGGTACATTACCTATGTACGCTGATAAGTTGATACATCCTAAAGAGCAATACAACGAGATTAGTAACTTATTTCATCCATTATATAATGACTTCCATGCACAATATGGTAATGCACCCCCTCCCCCGACATGAACATCTTATTCATCTAAAGGAAATTCATTTTTGAAATCTACATTTGGTAATCTTATGAAAAAAGTAAATCAACTCTCACTGTTGCACAAAGCTCGATTAACGAGCTTTTTTTATATCTAACGTTTCACGTTGACTATGAAGAAAGAAAGAACGTTCCCGATTTTATCGAAGATGACTAATCAAGTGCTATCAATGTCGATATCAACTGTTGACGTGGAACAAGAATTTAGTGTGGCCGGGAACGTCCTAACAAATTATAGAACGAGATTGAGAGCAAAATCTCTTGAGACGCTTGTTTGCTTCCACGATGGTTGAAGGCCCGACGTAGAACTCAAGAAGTTTGCATCGCCCCCACCCGCCACTTCATGGAGGAAACAACAACCGATGGTGGCGGAGATTCCGACCATTTTTTAGGAAATGTATTTAATGTTTTAAATTATTCTCAATTCTTAATTGTAGTTCATATTTCAAATAAATATACTTTAAATTTTTATTGTCCACCACTTGTTGAATTAATTTTTAAACAAAATTATAAAACAAAATAGCCCAACTCGAGGCCCGCTCGGGTAGCCTGGCCCCGATACCAACCGGGGCCGGTACCGGGCTGATATCCTAAACTCCAGTCCCGCCCCGACCCATCCTGAGGCCCGACCTGGTCCGGTCCCGATCCACCCCTGCCTAATACGATACAATCAATGTCATAGTGATTCCGCCTTGCAATGACAAATGCCCCAAATCCCAATATGACTAGTTTTTTCTTTCAAAACTTTCACTAACCTTTATTTAATTAATATTTTCTATTTAAATTCCAGTTCCATCCCGACAACCCATCCCTACCTTGCCTTGCCGTTGGCTCCAACAACATCTGCCATCATCGGAAGCCGCATGTATTTGGGGATGACATATTCGAGCTACCTTAAAAAGGAGATTGTATTCCCGTGCTACTTAACATCTAAAGCAGTGAATGATGTTTGATTGAAGCTTCACCGGGAAATGATTGCTCGTTAGTGCAGAGTTAAGAAGCTCAAAACCATCCTCTTCCTCCACCTGCCCGAACTAACAGGACATTCCCCTTTCTAAATAAGTCGCTATTGTAGGCAAAACAAATTTGCCTGATGTTCAAGAACTGCTTGTCTTTGATGCATTGCCACAAAAGCAAGAAAAGACTACTTCATTTGATAAATGATGATCTTAATAGTGGGGGACATATTCTCCTTAAATCATGATGACCTTAAGACATCATATCCCCTTGGAGTGCCCCGGGTGCCTTGGCGGGCGGGGCTTCCAGTTTTCACGTCTCTTACTCTCCAATTGTTATTGTGTATTTTAAGAAAAATAACATCTTGTTCCGTCAAAGTGTTTTGGGATGTATTGTTGACTAGAAGCTTTTAGTGTGTGAAATGCATATTAGAATTAACATTTAAAAATTGGTGTGAAATGCAAACCTATTATGTAGGAATAAATAGAGTTGCAAAATATGTAAAAAAAAAAGTGCAATGTGTGTGACTCGAACATGTGAAATAGTTAGGCAGGAAGTGCATAGTGTTACTACAATGTGCAAATTAGTTAAATAAAAAATCTAGTGTATATGTGAAAGTGTTTGTTAATGTGTTTGCGTGTGAAATGATTCTCCATGAAGTGCATAAATTTTGTTAACATGCACAAAATTAAGTAATGTGCACTTATGACAATTAGAGTGAATATTGAATTATTGATAGTCAATTATATTTGAATTTTGATAAGTTGGGTAGTAGATTTTTAAGTGTACACCTTTATCGAGTTATTGTGATAGACACGAATACCAAAAGGCAAAAATTGTGTACGATATAGGTGCAGTAAGTGTGTGCGCATACTCTAATGAAATTTTGAATGTTTATGTGCAAATCTGTTGATACATGTTCAAATGCCTACATTATGTGCGAGTAATAATAAATGAATGCTGGTGCATGACGAGCCAACAAACGGTGTTTATTGCTTTCTACCAAGTCTAAAACCTTTTTGACATTAGTTTGAATATGTGTGTGTGAAAGGATTTTCAGTATAAAGTGTATAAGTTGTTTAATATGCATATGAATAAGACAATAAAAGTGCAAAATTAGTAGAGGTAATAAGATGCTAGACATTTCCTAAGATGCTAGACATTTCCTTGGTATTAATGAAGACCGAACTTCATATCTAAATACGAATTGGGTTACACGCTGACGTCTCCATGTCCATCTAAAATCCCTATACGCACTAGCCAACTATCTCAATAGAAAAATTGTTAACATCTTCTCTTTTTAAAATCTTGATGGGGGAAGGAGACACAAGGAAGAGTGAAGGAAAAGTTAAAGGATATTGGTTAGTGACTTGTGAGGGGGGGGGGGGGGGGGGTTGGGGGAAGTAATGAGGTGAGATAGACAAGTTAAAATTTGAATTACATATAAAATAACATGCTTTGAAGAAAAACCACACTATACACCCCAAATGCAAATATGAAACTAACAAATTGGGAGGGAGAGAGTACTCCTTATTAATATCGCACTAATCGAGGAATATAGTCGGTTGAGACAACTATGGTTATATGGTGGTCAGGGCCGATGTTAACATTCTTTTGATCGAGCCAAAATTTTAAAAAGGGCCCTCATATACCATTAAAAATAAATAATACAAAGTAGAACATAAACATTTTATTAGAAATTAAATGTCAAATAAATGTAATGGTATGGGATTTAAAGAGATTAGATGTAGTATAAAAATCATAGAAACAAACATCTAGACTTAAATTTCTATCACATTAGAAGTATTAGTTTCATACACTTGTATACATTGAATTTAAATAAATAATTAAATATATTATAAAATAATGTATTTATTTATTTATTTAATTAATTAATTAAGTAATTAATTAATTTATTTATCATCCATACCTGATTTGACCTATCATCTCTTCCATCCATCATTCATTTATAATTCATACGGAGTACTTTTTAATGCCTTATCCACTTGTTGTTTTTGAATTACATAAAAATTCATGGATATGAGTGAAATTGTAAGCGCTACGGTTACGGATACTAAGATGATCTCATTTTTTCTTCGGTTTGTCCCACTAAAATGGTTTCATACCAAATTTAATAATATTTGCGTAGTTCTAAATTATTCTTATTTTATTTTAACTTTATTTGTTCAATATCAATAACAATAACTCAGTTTTCTTGGTAATCACCCCACTTCCTCTTGTATCATCGATGTTAGCCAGAAGAATGTAATATAATACGAAAGATTCCTTAGAGAAAGCACCAATTTTTAAAGGGAAAAAGATCACATAATACTTTTTATTCCATATTATTTGCAGATTCGTCAATTAAATATCTATATTAAAACGTGCCATATAAGTAAACTAACATTAATAAATTGACGAGTTTTATCCTTTAATAGAAGGTTTTTATATTAAAAACTCTAAGAAAGTTGTTTAAATTTGAAGAAGTATAGAAAAAATTGTGAAAAATTACAGAATGTCAAAGTCAAAAATTTTGAAAATTTGAAATTATTTCTATATCTTACATCTATATAAAATGATTTACATATTTTAATTTTTAATATTTTTTTTTTACATTTTCACTTTTATTTTTTCATTTTTTTTGATTTTGTATTTTATTTTAACATTTTAAAATTATATAACTATTTTTACATTTATATTATTTTTATATTATTATTACATTGTTTTCAAATATATACGAATTCTTATAAGATTTATCAATAACCCATTTTTTGACAAATCCCAAATTTATTTTGGAATAATGAACAAGAATAATCCCAACCATTAGTGATCTGTTTCAAATAATCTAAGGTATTAATTATCTCAAAATAATCTCAACTATTGAAAAATCTTCTCAAAATACTCCAATGACTTATAATTATCTAGAAATAACCTATAATATTTATGAGTAAGTAAAATATTCTGAGAAGATTTTTCAATAGTTGAAATTATTTTGAAATAATTAATACTTTAGATTATTTGAAGCAGATGACTAAGAGTTAAAATTATTCTTGTCCATTTTTCCATTTATTTTTTAAGAAATAACTTGTTACAACAAATCAAAATATTTTGATTGTATTTTAAAATTAAATGTACTTTTATACTCCGTATGATATTTTTAGTAGAACAACTTGTAAAACTCTTTGTGTCAAACTCCTCAAATTTGAAAGTCTGCGCATTCGATCCCTGTCTCATTTCATCGTCGTCTCCGCAACGACTGAGCCCAGAATCTCAGATTCTCAATGCTCTTATTTTCTGTCTTTCTGGACACGCCATTGTATCGGTATAGAAGTAAATTTAGCTCCGAGTAACCGTGAATCAATATGGATGACAAAGACACAGAGCTCCTCTGTAGAGTTGCAGCAAATCACTTATTCTTAGCTCAATTCGAACCATTTCGAGCCACTCTGCGTAGCCTCCGATCTAGAAATCCGGATATTGCCCGGGCCATTCTTCAGACTATCCTTGCTAAGGGAGGCCGTCTCGACTCGATCCTGTATTCCCATTCTTGCCCATCCCCAGCTTTTCTTAGTTTTTTATGCACGCTTGAACTCCTTGAATTCAATCAGCCCACGTCAAACCTTTGGTCGTTTGATGCAGACACCCTGAAATTGAGGGCGGAGTTTTTGCTGTATTTGCAAGTTGTAATTGTTAGGATGTCAGAGAACTGCAAGAAAGGCAAGGACTCAGAGGGTGGTGGAGGAAATGCAATAAATCATGAGAATTTTGAGTACATGCGAGGGGAATTAGGTGGGTGCCTGACTGTTTTAGAAAGGATATCTGCACTGGGTTTAAACCGGTTGAGACCGGATTTGATTGAAACAGATGATGAGGGGGAGAATGAGGGGACTTGTGGAAGTGATATTATACTGGAAGAAGAGGAAATTATGTCTCTAGGGAGGGTGTTTCTTGAAAATGCTGATGTATTTCAAGCTTTGTGTGTAAACATTCAAAAGCAAGTGAGTGGCATAGATGGTGAAAATTCAGCAATGGCTATAACGTCCAGAACAAAAGTGAAGAATGAAGAGGTTGAGGAAAAGGTGCTAAAATTGATCCAAAGAAGTGTTCAGATTTCACATTTGGATGCTATGAAGGAATGTTTGGTGAAGGATGATGTGGATGGAGCAGTTTCACACATTCGGTTTCTCAATTTGGATTATGGCGTTGAGGAGGAGCACTGGTATGTACATTCTATTTTGGCATCTCTTTCAATCAGAAAGCAGCTCTATAGTAAGATGTTGTCACATGACCCACTTGAGATTTGTTGTTAATGAATAAATCTAACCCTGAATTGCTGCTCACATAGATCATTAATAAGTAGAAGCAATGTATGTCTTGGCATTGATATAAAACTAAGTTTTAGTTGTACTTTTAAACTCATCAGTGTCTACAAGTAACAGATTGTTAGTGTCCAGTTTACTAGTAACCTTAACAACCTTCAGGCAACCTAGTGGATAGGTGTTCTCATTTCATACTTATTATCAGCTGCGGATTTGTAAATGAAATTTGACTCTTGTCTGTACAAAAGTGAGTCATTATAAACATTTGGCTAACTTCAAATTTATGCCGTTCTGATTATTACAGACAGTTGATTGTGATGAAAATGCAATCTCTCTTTTCATATGTGTTGATGTATATACTTTTGGACCACAAGGACTCCTGCTACTACGCAACATTCTTGAGTTTAATGTGCATTAATATAATCAATGTGCTGAAAAGTGGCTATGAAATAATTTGCTCGGTTATATTAGTATATTAGTTTAAGACTGCGTACATCCGACCCCCCTTACCACACCGTAGGTGGGAGTCGTTGTTGCACTGGGGTAATCTTGTTGTTGTTGTTGTTGTTGTTGTTGTACTATATATAAATTATACCAAGTACAAATGCTTCAAATGAGTTTGGTAGTTAATATCTGTATACCTGTGTATAGTACCCATATATTATAAAGTAAAGAAATACGGAGTAGTTTTATATATTGGTTAAGTGTGAATGATGGAGCAGTAGCCAGTAGCACCATTAAGTTTCATAGTAAAATCAATAACCTTATACCTTTAAAGTTGTATAACTACTTGTTGACACATAAATGAATGTACCTCATAGACAACGAGACAATATTGCCTTGAGCTTGGCCCTCTGTTCGCAATTACTTCCTTTTTAATGAGTGTGTGGATCTTAAAGCAATGAATCAATCACACTGCTAATGGTGTTCTTTAGCAGCTATAATACTAATATAGTAATATTGGATCTTATCAGAATAGGCTACATATCCAAGAATTTGAATATGATTCGTTTCCAACAACCGTGAGTATTCATGACATTAGTTAAAAAGATTACTCTCTGAGCTTGTCACTCAAGAAATTGTTGTGTAGCTTCTTATTGTTTCAGATATTGTGTGTCCACAAACAACCAATCTAACATGAACTTTGTTATGGTGTTATATAGGGATGAGTTTATGTGATTCGTATTGAATTGATAAAGTAAGAATAAAGTAAGAATGATTTAGGACCACACAAATTTTACCAAATATGGTATGACAGATCGAAAAGGAAATATGAGACAATCTTAACGGAACTTTGAATCTTGAAAAACTTTGAATTTCAATTACGTTAATAACCTATCAACTCATTGTATATATTTAAAATAATATTCTAATTTATAATACACACTCCATAAAAACACTTTTATGCCTAATTTCTAAAAGCCAAGCTTAGTTTGTTTATTAAATAGGCCAGACCAGGCCTTGAACATGCCATGCTGCAGATCCCTTACTAGCCGCCTGACCTATTCCCACCCCTAGTGTTATATAAGGAGTTTAGCAATCGCTGCATGGTTGAGTCATTACTGTTTCATGACCTAATGTGATTCCATTCCAAATGATAATCAATGTAAGATGATTATAAAAAATGATGTAAAACTAATTTTGTTTGATTTTGTATGTTCCCTTCGATCATTTTTTGGCACTGTAGTTGAGTTATCTTCGGACATCAATTAGGCACACATTACTGTATGATGTCGAGTGTTGGGCGGTGAAACAACGTCACATTCAACAGATGAGTGTGGTTGAGATGTGCACTTTGCGTTGGATGTGTGGGCATAACAGAAAAAACTGCTTGAAGAATCAGGCAAAATGTGGGAGTAACACCCATTGAAGATAAGGTGAGAGAGTCTCAATTGCGATGATTTGGCCATGTGCGTAGAAGACCGATTGATGCACCTATTAGACGGGTTGAAAGGTGAGGAGAAGAGGCTGGGGTGAGAGAGTATGTCTTTGGAGAGTGTGAAGTGTAGGGAGAATATACGTGTAGAGAATTGATCTCATTTTGTCCTTTTTTTCTTTTTTCTTTTTATCGTCTTTATATCTTTATCTTTTTTTATCTTATCTTTTTATCCCTTTTTTTAATCTTATCTCATCTTTTTATCTATTTCCATCATTTGCAATGGAGCCAAAGATTCATTATTTTTTGGCTTGAGATTATGATGGAATAAAGCAAAATGGCTCACTAAACTGTCTGCGCTTCTTTGTTATGGAGCAGCAGTCAGTCCATGCAATTTTGGACGCGATTTTCACTATGGGTCATCCGGAAACAGTCTCTCTGTGCTTTAGTACAGGGGTAAGACTGTGTACATCCGACTCCCTCTTACCCCACCGTAGGTGGGAGCCTTTGCGGCACTGGGGTAAATGAAAATGAAAATGATCTCATCTTTTTATCTTTTTAGCTCTGATTTCATATGTTGATTCATGTTAGCTGGCCCAAAACTCTTTTTGGACTAAAACTTGGATGTTGTTGTTGTAGTTGAGTTATCAAATCACTAGGTTCGGTTCCTTTTATTTTTTATTTTTTAAATAAGGGAGTCCTTTATTTAGTTTTCTCGGGGTTTTTCCATGATCCTTGTTCTCAATATGTTATATAACCGCTCTATCTTAATATCTTATATTCTTATAACATTCAGATGCACTTTCTGGCGATGGATGTTCTTCTTAAGCACTATTATTAATGATTACTGAATGATACAACTCTATGACTCTATGTCCAAAGTGTTGATTTACTAATTCATTGAGACAATGGGGATCACTTGGAAATTCTATGAACTAAGCAGAGATTGGATACTTAAATGTAGCTTGCCCCAACCATTTTGGATCATGGTTTAGTTAAATTAAAATGTGTAAAGATTGTAAAAGAAGTGGTCTGAACCATGATATGGTAATACTATTTCATGTGGTCTGAACCATAAATACTGTAATAGGTAACATATTTTAAAGATAAAAGCAGTTTTATGTGTCTCTCTGGTATGTTGCATCATGATCCAGGCCTGTTGTGTACTTTTGGTCTGCAAGATGATAAGAACAATAAGTTTTAAATGTTAAAGCAATGATTCATATGTCGCCATTATGTTTCTTTTGTACCTCTATTTACATTCCCTCTTTTCATGCCTTAAATAGCCAGGTTTTGCATGATATCCTCAAGAGGATTATGCCAATGAAGGATGAATTCGGAGATACGTGGCTTGCTTCCAGATGTAAGCTGTTGTCAGTTTATGGAGAAGCACTCTCATCATGTTGTGCACGCCTAGTTCAAATGATTCAGGTGCTCATATAGTTTCTTATTGCAATTTTTCTTGGTGATGTAATGATCCAATGCTCATAAGCGATTTGCTTGTATTGGTTGTGTCATTTAACTCTTTCTGTTTCCCTTTTACAATGAAATATTTATCACACGATTTTCCAATACTTGGAACTCATGTACTATACTACTACTCATCGTTAGAAGTAACTCAAAAAGTTGCTTGGTTAATAATATATAAAGGGAGTCTAGATTTCTTTCTTCATAAATGAGATCTCCTAATTCTGAGCAGGAATGCAGTACCTACCCATACTTCCAATACAATATTTTCTACAGACGTTATCGTTTTCAGCTGCCTGAAATTTATCTCGAGTTTTTTGATTTACAAAAATTATATCTTTTCTAATCTGTAAAGTATTAAAATCCTGCAACTGGCTTTTACTACTGAATAGCAAAGAACTGAAAATACAATCATTAAATTTTTGTATTGTACTGATATCAGTACCTGATACATCCTGTAAACAGGCTGTTCAAGATGAGTTGCTCTTAGCAGAAATCAAGACTTTGCGATCTTCTGGTAGTAGACACATTCCTTTCCCCCTCCTGCGCCTTCAAAATTTTGTAGGAGAACTGAAAACTGATACTGGTTCAAGTGAAAGGGCAAGATTATTAAATACTGCTACGGGTTCATGTTTGAGGGAAATGTACCATTATGCTCGTGTTAGTGGCTTGCATGTGCTGGATTGTGTCATGAATACTGCAATATCTTCTGTGCGAAAGGAGGAACTTCAAGAAGCTAGCAATGTACATATTGTAAATCTAAATTTACATATTTAATAATTTAATGTAATTTTAGCACATTGGTTTATCTTATGGAGATAACCGGACCATCAAAAGAAAAAATATATTTACCTGGATTGAAAGTACCATGATGTCACAAATTAGCAAATCAGTTTGCTTTCAACTTCTTGGTAAGGTCTCATCAGTTTTTTTTTTCACCAATTGCATGGTAGGTTCTCCTTTTGTTTCCCCGGCTTCAGCCTCTTGTAGCTGTTCTGGGTTGGGATTTGTTGTCTGGTAAAACAACGATGAGGAGAAAACTGATGCAATTATTATGGACTAGCAAATCACAAGAAATTTATTTGCAAGACTCTCTTCATTATAGTTCCAAATTAAATGAGGTAATTGATCTGGTTTCTTGAGTAGTAGTAGTGACACACTGGTTTCACATGATTACATGATTGGACCTTAAGGGTAGCCTCAAATCCTTACCATGTTTAGATTAATTCTTAACATCATTTTGGCAGGTGTCTTGTGTTGAACACCTTTGTGATTTGTTATGTTACCGACTTGATCTTGCTTCTTTTGTTGCTTCTGTCAATTCTGGCCTATCATGGAGTTTGAAATCCTCGTTACTTTTGTATGGGAATGAACATCCAGAAAAAGAAAATGAAGGCATTAAATGGGACTCTTTTGTCGACAATCTTGTGCTGGAAAGATTATCTGTGCAGAGTCCACTTCGGGTATGACCCTAGGGTGTGTCTCTTGTCTTGAAAAGCCTGAACGATTATCATAAGCAGAATATATTTTGTGTGTGTGAGCTTGTAGTAATAAACCTTTGGTTTAAGTGAAAAGTTTACTTCTGGATGGGAACTAATTTTGTTTTAATGTTTTGTTACATTTTTTCCTTTTTTGTGGTGGTGGATGGCTTTTGTGAAACGTAAGTTGAGCGGGTAAAATTATCTTGTGCTTTTTCAGCTATGAAACATTGGACAGCTAAAATGAAGGATGTTCTTTTAAATGAATGAAACATGTGAATGAAAGTTTTTCCCTAATTGCAGGATCAGTTCTACACCCTAGAGTTTGAGTTTATCTTATATAGTAACTTCCTTGATGGGTTGGCTTACTACTTACTAGAAGGTGCATTAAATAGAGTTCAACATCTTTTTTGCCCCATCAGTACTCACTACTATATTTAGGTGCAGGGTCTGTTGAATCGCATCTAAAAGATGCAAAGATGTGTTTATTCAAAATTCAAATTTTGAGACAGGGGCCATGCATATATGCAGTATTTGTTAACTTACATTTTTTACTTGTTTATGCTAGAGTTGGAGACTAATTGAAGTGTCTGTATAGGTATTATTTGATGTTGTTCCAAGAATTAAATTTCAAGATGCGATAGAGCTGATCAGCATGCAGCCAATCACTTCAACACTTGCAGCCTGGAAGAGGTGTGATCACAATTTCCTCCATCAGTGATCAATGACAAACTTAGGAATGGCGTTACTGGTTTTCATGCTTTATGCAGTTTTTTAAATTATTATAGTTTTGATAGATGCATGGAGTGATTGATTTGTGCCCATTTACTTCTACACATGGTAGGGTGCAAGATATTGAGCTTATGAACATGAGATATGCTTTGGAATCTGCTGTTCTTGCTGTGGGGACCATGGAAGAAGATTTATGTGTAGAAGAGGGAAAGGAGGGCACTATTATGTGCCATTTGAAAGATCTGAAGAGCCATCTTGATGCCATCAATAATATTCCTCGAAAGGTTATTAGTTTTGGATTTTGTTGACACACACGTTCACACTGACAAATGTATGCATGTTGTTTTCATTTATATTATATAATAATTTGTTTTCGAAACAAATTTGCTATAATGATTTTCTCTTTACACAAGTAACAACTAGGAGCACCTATTATGGTAAGACTTGGATGATTACAATTGTGTCTAGAATACTCATGGAACACAAAATGCTATCTTCTCCTTGAAAGTTAGGACCTGTCCTCTTCGCGTGACAAATGTGACCTGATTTAATTTTGAAGACAATGTCTATGGTCTGGTCAACATTCTTCCGGTCTGAATGTTCTGAATGTTTCCAATCTTGTATAATCTTAAGATATAAATCTAATGTGATTTAATCTGTCTGTTCTTAGTCCAGTATGAATCTGTTGGTTTGGTATGAATGTGGTTTGGTCTGAATGTTTCTTCTTTTCTGGTTTGATCTTGTCTGCTTAAAATAAGAACAATTAATAATAAAAATAATAATAAGGTAAAGAGAACATCACCTTAGTTTGTATTTGGGAATTGAAAATTTGCAGTTACTGAATAGCACAAAGTAACTTAAATATTATATGCTACATTTTTTATATTTAAAAAATAAAAAATCTATAATTAAAAAAATAACACTCCGTATTTGTGGACTTTTAAGGGGTTTCTAGCTATGTGTGTCAGAGTGGTAGCAAGGCAGAATTACCAACTTTGATAGTTTAGTATATGTGATGTCTTCTTTATCTTAACTATAACAATGCAGATATTGATGGTGAACATTATCATATCTCTTTTGCATATGGATGGTCTCTCTCTTGGTTCAGAAGTTTCTACCTCATCAAAGAGCTTATCTGATTTGCCCACTACTTCCAGTGGTGGAAATTCGGATACTGCAGCTCCAGATTCAGTAAATGAGACAGTTGTATTGTTCATTGAACAGTTACTTGACATATTACAGCACAATATAGCATCATCTGAGAAGGAGAGTTCGTGGTATGAGAATATATCATCTAGTGGAAAAGACGCGCTTGAGTGGCGAATCTTGAATGCAAGGCATTTTATTGAAGATTGGGGTTGGCGGTTGTCTATTCTACAATGCCTTCTGCCATTCTCTGAACGACAGTGGAAATGGAAGGAGGCTCTAGCGGTGCTACGTGCAGCGCCTTCTAAGCTACTAAATCTGTGAGTGCTATTGCTTCTGCTATTTATTGTTGCTTAACGTCTCCTATACCTGACATGGCATGATAATATCTTCATTCATGTACTCAATGATTCATCTTTGTGAATGCTGTTGACAGTATCAGTATTGGGTCAATATATGTATGACCGTGGTGATAAACTAAGAGATATGATGTCGTGTCCATCTTAAGGATCAATAAGCCACTTAGTTTCTCTTTTGGTACATGTGACTGCATTTGGAATAAAAGTGTGTTACAATAATAATATTATCATCAATATCATCATTCTTACCACTCCTTGCCCAGACCCTCATGTGCCTGTGACAACACTTGTGTCCATGTTCACGTTTCATGCAAGTGGTTGCTAATCTGCACATGGCGGTCATAAGTATTTATTTATGTATCTATTTTTTCAATTATTTATCTATCTATTTATTTATTTATTTAATTCATGCGACAGTTGTATGCAGAGGGCAAAATACGATATTGGAGAAGAAGCTGTAAACCGTTTCTCTTTGCCCCCAGAAGACAAAGCTACACTAGCATTAGTTGAGTGGGTAGATGGCACCATCAAAAGAGCATCTGTAAGTTCCTTACACACTATTGTTCAATTTGTAAACTACTTACATATCTTACAACAGTGAATTTTGATGATATTATGGCGCTTTTTTGTTGAAATATATATAAGGGATGTACATTTCCTCTCTTCACCTTTGTGGGTATATGAAGAGTCAAGTAATCCTTGTGTCTTAGCTAGTCTAAAGGTATCAAGTAGTTTAAGAATCTCTTTCAACACACACACACACACACACACACATATATATATATATAATTATATATGGGATCATATAAAAATGCTCTTAACTTACAAATGCAAATGATTAAGGTGCGTTGGATTTAAAGATCTACAGGTTGAATTTTGGTAAATAAACCAAACTTTTCCGGACGCAACACTTTGAACGTTAGTATGCAACCATTTATTTCATCGCACAAAAATATGCTACACTTTGAACATCAATATGCAATACAAATAGCGTAAAGAATGCATCATACAAAATTTTGCACGATGAACACACTTTGTACCATACCTGCACCCTATATATATATAAGGTCCGGTTCCAATGAAAAGTGTGATCAAGTGCACTACTTGTTCAGTACGATGCTCTTATTACATGTTTGTATTTCACGTTTTTGCGGTAGCAGAAACCACATTTTTTAAATCAAATTTAGTGCATTGTTGGCTTATTTTAAGCCATAAGATCTGAAATTTAATGCACAAGATTGGTTTTCATTTTGCATGGGAAGGTCTCTCTTTATTTCGATCCAAATCCTATATATATATATATATATATATATATATATATATATATATATATATATATATATATATATAGAAATGATCCTGTCCAGCAGCCCCCGGTCCGAACACCGTCCGAACATCGCCATTTGGGGTACTTCCCGGTGGAATTTTGTGATGAAATTTTTTGAGCATGTTCCTCATCAAGTCTAGTTTATCCATACCAAATTCCAGGTGGAATTTTTCGATGAAATTTTTTGACTGCGTTTTTATATGTATATTTTGGCGCAGTCAACTTCAAAAAAGGATTTGACTGCCTTCCCGATCGAATTTTGAGCTGAAATTTGGTATGGATAAACTAGACTTGATGAGGAACATGCTCAAAAAATTTCATCACAAAATTCCACCGGGAAGTGCCCCAAATGGCGATGTTCGGACGGTGTTCGGACCGGGGGCTGCTGGACAGGATCATTTCTCTCTCTCTCTCTCTCTCTATATATATATATATATATGCGTCTTGTATCCATGAAGAAAGCAAGTTAAAGTGACAATGTCAATAAACCTGTTGTTATAGAAAATTAGTATAGGTTCTTTGGAGACTGCATAGTTCTTTTCTGTACATGCCCTTGAAATTCTGGTCAGCTTGTTAGTAAATACGTCTTTGCAAAAATTCACATGAATTATCCCAGCTATCACCGGCATTGCTGTATTAATCCCATATATAGATAATTTTAAAATAAACTGATGACCTGCATAAACCAATTTAGCAGGTCACCTTACCATGTGGCATGTTTTATTGGTTTTCCTAATTGTATTTTCATTTATAATTTTTCTTTTTATTATTTTCTTTATTGCTTTTCCTTACATTTCTTCTTTTTCTTTCTTCTTCCCAGCCGTGCATGAATGTTGTGCTTCATTGTCGCTACCCATGGTTTATTTTCTTTTCTTCCCTTCCCTTCCCTTCCCTTCCCTTCCCTTCCCTTCCCTTCATTGCATCTGCAAATCTTCCCCTTCCCTTCCCTTCCCTTCATTGCATCTGCAAATGTTCCCCTTCTCTGGACTTGAATCCTGATTCAAAAATTTCTAAATTGAAAGAAAAATGTTCTGATGCGGAAAGAGTCTCACGAATCCTAGAGCTTAATTACTGAATGTTCTAAGAAGGGACTGAAATGCAGAGAAGTAACTGCCATTGGGAAACCGGATGCCTAACTTTTTTCAGAAGTTTGTAAATCTTGAGAGATTTGAATTTGTTGGCCTTCATTTGTTGACTGTGGCAAATTAAGGCCCTTCCGTGTGCTAACCACGTCCAACCAACACCTGCTCCTCAGTCCTCATGTCAAACCTCTAGAATTCCGAAGGTTTGTTGCTGTTAGCACCCAAAAGGCAACCGGGACAAGTATTTTTTGGGGTTTACCAGCAACAAAGAAAAAGGTATTAAGACAAAAAAAGTAAAAGATAGGATGTTACTGAAAATATAATAAGGTAGTCGGTTGCCTCACTTGGGAGTGTTTTGAGAAGGATGCTACATAATTTTTCTCAGATGCTACTCAAAGTACCTTTTGAAATGATTTTCTGTTTTTAGAAAGCTCCCAACCTTTGCAATGGAGCCATAGATTCATTATTTTTGGCTTGAGATTATGATGGAATAAAGCAAAATGGCTCACTAAACTGTCTGAGCTTCTTTGTTATGGAGCAGCAGTCGAGACCATTCTTTTTGAGACAATATGGAATAAAGCAAAATGGCTCACTAAACTGTCTGAGCTTCTTTGTTATAAAGCAATTTTGGACGCGATTTTCACTACGGGTCATCTGGAAACAGTCTCTCTGTGCTTTAGTACAGGGGTAAGACTACGTACATCCGACCCCCCTTACCCCACCGTAGGTGGGAGCCTTTGCGGCACTGGGGTAAATGAAAATGAGTAAAAATGAAATTGAGAAAGCTCCCAACCTTGTACGGAAAATACAACCAGTGATTTCAAAAGACTGATATCATACATGAAAGTTATTAATCCTTGTCTTATGTGTCCCAAATATATCTCTAAAGGCGGAAGCCCTGTTGAATATTAAATAGTGGGACCTAATGTAAGAATTTAAATAATTTCATTATAGAAACTAAAGTATTACATTATAATAAACCAAAGGCATTTCAAAATATTTCATTCAATATTTTGAACCAAAACCAAACTTTAATTGAAAACAACTATTCTTTTTAATTTTTTTGGAAATAAAATCTTCAATTTTGATGTCTTCATGTTCAAATTTCTCCGATAGATGGCTCTCAATGGTTATAAAAACTAATCTCTTCAGTCTTTCTTATGTCATTGACTCATTGTAGAACACATCTAGGACTTCAACATATTCAATTTGAGAAAGGGTTTCCCTGTTTGCTTGGGTAACAAAAATTTGGGTCCATAACAAAATATGGGACCTTTTTACGGGCTTCATTTGCTCCCCTAAAGGCCCGGCCTTACTCCGGAGAGGCTCTACTTATTCGAACCTCTCTTGAATATCCTCATTTGTTCTTACTGTGGTGTTTATCGGTGGTAACCCTTGACACCTTTCAATATGCATCCATTTTTATCATTAGGAAAAAATAGGAACTTTCTAGTGACAATATATTGTATTAACAAGTTAGGTAATTGTTTTGAACTTTTTGCTAAATTTTTGAGGTGGAGGATGCTGTGACTCGTGCTGTTGATGGAGCTTCTGCTGCTCAGCATTTAGATTTTTCTAATTTACATGCTCAGTTAGGCCCTCTGCGTGCTGTAAGCCTCTTTCGTTTGCTATTCCATCTCACTAAGTGCCCCTCAGAGTCTTTTTACGTGTTTAATCTAAGTTGTAGCATGATATGCCTAAATATGCTTTCAGCTTTTGTTGTGCATTGATGTAGCTGCAACATCGGCCAAGTGCAAGACCGTATCTATGAAACTTTTAAATGAGGTAACTTTAGATGTCATAATCGTTTTTGTGATTTTCTGTTCTCTGTTTTGATGTTTTTTATTTTCTATATTCAAATATAGAAAATAAAAATGTCCTGACAATCATAAACTGAATCATGACACTGGAATCTCAAAGTCCCTTTTTTGATCGAAAAATTTATTGATCTTGACCGAGTGAAAAACTTTAGATTGTATTTTTCAATTTTGTTGCAATGGAAGTATTGCTATCCACCACATCCTTTTGGCCTTTGTGTCTTCTCTGCTGATTGACTACAATTGGGCATTATGATTTATGAGGACCTTCTAGAAGACAAATGAATCATCAGTTATTATATTCATATTATTGAAAAATTCAGTTTCAACCGTTATAATATATTGTATTAATTGTAATTAGTAAATAGATTACCTTATAGGCTCTCCTCCGGGTTGTATAAATTGGACTTCAAGATTAGTGATTGATTCAAGCTTTTCAACCTAAATCCTCTATCTTTCTAAAGTTCGTTATGGTATCACAGCCAAACAAGCTCTAACCAGCCGTCTCCCTTCTCCTATGGCCGCAGAGGATCCTCTTCAGCAAGGGGACCTCAGAAATCCCCCCGCCGGGTAGTCTGCCATTATTCCTGAGCACTCTGCCATTCCTTCTACCACAATCAACAACCCCCTCACCTCAAATGGTCTAATCATGCTCAACCCTAACTACTTCCCAGAAAAACTTGAAGGGACAGATACCTAATATGGCGTGACCAAGTGCTTGACCTCTTGGTTGGCTCTCATCTCGACCAGTACATCGATATTGATGCTGTTCCGCCACCTAAAAGTGACACCGCAGGCTGCCTTTGCTGGAATCCATCTCCTCCGACATGCTCTTGTCTCCTCTTTCAGCTCTAAGCGTTCTACTTGGATTGGAGATGGGATTTTATCTTTCGCCGGTTTTTTCTGGATTCTGGACAGAGCTTCGCCGGAGAAGACAACCGGACTGAAGGAATGACAGAGAGGAAATGGACTATTATCTACATTGGACAGACTGTTCTCTTTCCGCGTTGCTACTGAAGTTCTTGTTTTAACCTTTTCCGGTTTTTGGCCAGAGACTGTGGGAAGACGACCGGAATGACTGGGCGTCTTGACGCGTCACTCGTATCTCGTTCCCCATTTGGAAGCCATGATTTTGATGTTTTACAGGTTTTTGGTTCGTGTGACCAGCGGCTGGTCAGTGCTTCGCCGGGGAAGATGACCAGGGTTTGCAGGGTTCAGCCTGCGAGTTGACACGCCTGTCACCTCAATCCCCGTTGTCAGTCACTGTACACTGGTCATGTTTGACTATTTTGGTTGGCGCCTCTCTCTCCAGCGGCCACATCAGTGAAGGGAACCTAGGGTTCCCAAAGATGCATAGGGTCGGGGCAGCAGCATGAGGCGACCGGGTTAAGACCAGGGTTGGGTGGGCCGCATGTTTGCTTGGTCTTGGCTCTTACTCTGGGCTGCAGTTTTACCCCAGTGTTGCAGATCAAGGATGTGCTACTCGCACAGCAACGCCTACGTGGAGTATTTGTTTTAATTGTTTTTGTGGACTGTTTTTTTCTTGGTCGGCCACTATGGCTTGGTTTTTTGGACTTTGTACTGACCGTAGCCTATTGTTATAGGCAACGGCTGTTTGTTTTGATTTAGGTTTGATGCCGGGGCTTGTCCCGTTGCATTTGTGTTGTGATTCAGGGGTATGCCCAGTTGCTTTTGTACCACATTTTTGGATGAGTTCAACATGTACATTTTACCCATTGGCCAGCTCCGCACGCACCTCTGCAGCAGTCGGGAAAGCCCTCGAACGACTATACTGTACCCGGTCAACTTCCCAGATTCAGAGCCTCAAAGACAGGTTTCGCCATAGTAAACAAGGTTCTCAAGGGGTGGGAAAATACCTCCATCATCTTCACTCTCGCTGATGAAGTGGCTCTGGCTGGCCGGCCAGTAGACTTTGAAGACTTCGTCCTCCATGTTCTGGAGGGGCTTCGCCCAGAATTTGCATTTATTTGAATATATCTATGGATTGCTTGTCGGCTTCGAGGATAAACTACGATGGAATGAATCTCCGATCTCCTCTGCCGTTGTCACAGCAAACTCCGTTGCTGTGAGTACTGCCGATTCTGTTGCTCTTGCGGCTCGTAGGGGACTGACCGTATATCAGACACGAACCTCAGCATCCATATTGGGCCCTGGCCCAACAACTTACTCCCAAAATCAGTCCCATCACACCAATGATCCAGCCCGAAACCAGAATAGCAAACAGTTCCGGAACCCAAGACCCAATACTCCCTATAACCCGACCCGACGTGGAAATACTAATCCTGGAAGCAACAATAGCACGAGGGCCCGGAACAACCCGAGAAGTGGAAATTAAAATTCTGGACCTATTATATGTCAGATTTGGGCAAACCGAATCACCTTGCTCTCAATTGTTGGCATCAGTTTGAGCAATAAGGTTACCCTCCCCAAGTCAATACAACCACATCAAATCGGAAAGGATGGCTACTTGGTTCTGGAGCAACCAATCACGTCACCAATAGCCTCAACAATTTAACCATGGCGTTAGATTATACTGGCACATATTATCTCATTATTGGTAACGGTAAAGGTCTTGTGATAGCACAAGTTGGGAATATGACTCTTCACACTCTCTCTACCTAATACTCTTTACGTCCCTTCCATTTATACTAATTTAATTTCCGTAGCCAAATTATGTTGTGATAATGATGTACTAATTGAATTTCACTGCTCCTTTTGTCTTATCAAGGACCGAAAAATGGGAGCAATTTTGTTACGGGGTATGAATAATGGCGTCGTATACAAAATTGCTCCCATTTAGCCTTTTGGCTCTGGGCAACGGTATTTTTATCATTGATTATCTGGGCAACGGTTTACCCCATTGATTTTATTTTCTGTTACACAACATAATGACCCTTACATAGTTATTACAAGAGTCCTAATTCTAAAAGGAAATAAATGTTAATTAAGAAGTTGCCTAAAACATAATAGGAATAATTATTGAAAAGAGATAAATGTTAATTAGGAAACTGCTGAATAGGAAGCTAGAAATAATTAGAGAAAGAGATAAAGGCTAATTAGGAAGTTGCTGATTAGGAAGCTTCCTAAAACTGCCAGGTCACAAATTTCTTTCTCAGCCATTTAGGATTCCAGAATCATCCCTCCTGATCATCGGATTTCTACATTGATATTTCCGACCATAGAGCTTGTCCTCAAGCTCAAGCTCAAAACTGGGAAACCAAGGAAGCAACCATGGAAAACATTGACATCTGAAAATAGCAAGATTTGTGTAATGGGGAGGTTGTTGAGAAAGTTTTTCATAAGCAGTGTAAAAGTTAAAAGAGGCCGCAAGTTGTCTATTAATAAGATACACTGCAGTATGAAAAGCATGTGACCAATATTGAAGGGGCATAGAGGCGTGGTAGACTAAGGTGATCCCAGTTTCCACAATGTGTTTGTGTCACCGTTCAGCGAATCCATTGTGTTCCGGAGTGTAGGGGGAGTGATCAAGTGAGAAATACCAAATGATCCTAGGAATTTCCCTAGGGTAATATATTCACCAACACCATCAGAATAAAGGGTTTCAATATTCTTTTGAAAATAATTTTCCACAACCTATTTGAATTTTTGAAAAACTGAGGTTACCTCAATTTTATGTGTTATGGTATAAAACCAAATCTTACTATATACAAACTAGCGTGGAAAAAAGTACAAACTCCCTCCAAAAAACACGGGTGGTAAAATGGGTAAACAGGTCAAGCAAGCAGACCAAAATATGTTCGCACAGGGATGGATTTAAGGGGGGGCGCGGGGGGCGACCGCCCCCCTTGGACTTTCAATTTTTTTTATTATATATGTAATTATTTCATACTTTAATTAGATATATATGTTTTCGCCCCCCTTAACTTTTAGTTTTAAAAATTTATATATAGCATTACATAATGTAATACATAATTGGAGATTTAAAAAATGTAACATCTAAAATAATTTACTTAACTTGAATGAATAAACTATAGCAGAACCCATTGTTTAAGACATATGACATCTATTATATAAGGGGAAAATAATTTAATTATCCCAAACTTTGAAAATGTGTGATGTAAACACCCCAAACTTTCATATGTAATATTTATATCTCAAACTTTATATAAAAAGTAATATTAGTACCATGAAACTATGTTTTTTTAATTCACAATGTATATTTATGATGTTTTAACTACATCTCTATAAATGTTTAACTATTTTAAAACATGTGCTTAACACCATAAGTTTACATTTTTGAATAAAAACTATATTGTAATGGTGATAACATAACTTTTTATGTAAAGTTCGGGGTATATATATTACACATGTAGGTTTGGGGTACTTAACTCACCCTTTTAAAATTTGGGGTATTTAAATTATTTTCTCCATTATATAAAAATTTCTAGATTTGTAATATTTAATTGTCTTTATTAGATAATTAGTACTCAATTTTGTAAAATATCGAACAATATTAAATAGCATACACACTAGTTAAATAATTTTTAGATCATGTGAAGTGAATCTAAAATATAAATGTTTATTGACATTAAATTGCACAATTCATTTACTTATTACTTTCTAAAAACAATTTGTTGAATATATAGATAATAAACTTGAACTTACTGTAGCATTAATACAAATACAATATGCACCATATATGTGAATTAACAATACTATGTATAATATTATTCTAGAATAATAATATCACACATACTATTGTAATATTAAGAAAACTTCTCGTGATCCACGAACACCATCCTTAGTAAACAAAAATTGCAATTCAAAACCAATTCTTTATTCTAATAAGATCCATATGGATAAACAAGGCAGAAGTTATTTAAAAATCTTGGTTGATGTGTACCTTTTAAACTCTTTATCTTCAAATAATTTTCATTTGATTTGTCATTTCTTATGCTTTAATGTATCAATACTTTTTTTAGAGCA